ATAACGATTACAGTCTTAGAAACTCTATGGGGCAGTTCAACTCTGTTCTATAAGGCCTCTAGAGGCGGAATTGACTCCACAACAAAGGGTTTAGTTTTTTGATCCTTTGACCTGGAAGAAAATGTCTTAGAGAAAATGAAAGTCTAACGCTGTACCTAGCAGAGAGTTGGCGTTTGGTGAATGAGTGGATGAGTAATTGGAATAACTCATATTTATTTAGTGCAATTCCTCTTCCATACCAGGTACTGAGCTAACGCTTTCCTTGCAGCTCATTTAACCCTCACAACAACTTTATAAGGGAGGTACTATTATTATCTCCTTTATAACAGAGGAAACTGATGCTTGGGGAGGTGAAGTAACTTGCCCAAAACTACATAGTTAGTGAAATGATAAAGCCAGGACATTACCCCACAGCTATCTGATTCCAAAGCCAATGATCTTAACCACAGTGCTACTCTGCCTCTCTCTAGGAAACAGTGTGTTGGATTTAGAGGTACATGCAGAAGGGAGCTCAGAGCCTGCTCTGTACTGCACCGTCCCTCTGTGAAGGCAGCACAGTTGCTCACCATTTCCACTGCTCATGACTTAAGAAGATTGTGATGGATGATGCACTCTGTGAAAGGAGCTGGATCTCAGAAATGCACTTCGATAGATGACCTCATTTAGCGATGCAGTGATTCTCTATGCAGATGTTTAAAATAATGTCACCGTAGGTGGGTTCTCCCCAGGGAAGTTCAGGGTTATTCCAATATCATGGCACCTGGCTCTAACAAAATCAGGTTCCTGCAAGCCAGAGAAGTGAGGGTAGTCTCAGCTCTGGCTCAGTGCTCCCAGACCTGTTTTACTGGTTTTTCAGAAGTGTTTCACCCACAAAAACCAAACAGCAATGGAAGCGCTAGAGCATATTTTGTTCCTGGGGTCAAACTGGTATGAAAGCTGGAGCTGGCTTTAGCTATTCGTTCTCAATGCCTGAATAAAAGGTCAGCCTCCCCCCAACACACCTCCACCCAACACACACCAACATACGCACAGCAACACACGCACACGGCTACTGCACAGGCAGGCAGACGACTGGCACATCTCCCCCTTCTGCCAGCAGCATGGCCTACTGTCTCTGCAAATATCCTCAAGGAGTTGTCCAGCCTTTCCCAGAGGGGTGTTCATCCTTACTATAACATTTGCAGAGGTCTTCAGCCCTCTGCAGTGAAGGGGACCCTCTTTTTCTCTAGGACCATGGCCATTCTCACTAGGAACTGTCAAAATTTCCATCACAACATTGACATGGAGAAAAGCTGAGAGAGGAGACAAGAAAGGGAATGAGTTGAGGGGAGGAGAGTCGGCCTCCACGGATATCACTCGGAAAGACTCAATCTTCCTCTAAGAAACCTGCCCACCTCTTCTCTGCTAAGCCACATCTTCTCCTTTCTCACTTGGCTCCAGGGGCTCCTTTCTCAGCAAACCCAAGTCTCTTCCTCTCCAGCTACAGTTATCCCAGCCCCCTCAGCACCCTCCCTTTATCTCCCTTGCACACAGGTCAGGGGAGATGGCCAACAGAGCTGGGCCTGGATGTAGGAGCATTCTTTTCTTCTTTCACTTATCTCCCTGTGTATGCATCTTACCAGTGATGAACTCCAGGTGACTCAGCGGTAGGATGCTGAGCAGGTGACTTAGCCTCTCAGCCTCAGGCTTCTCACCTGATGGATGATAACACTTGCTCCATTCTGCATACTAGGAGCATCAAAGCAGGTGCGGCCTGTGCCTGTGCTTTGACTGTAAAGACACCTATGGATACAAGGCGTTAGTAGTTCTCTACCACTTCCTTCAAAGAGCCAGTCCTGAACTCTGCACCCAGACTACTGGTGTTTAAACTGAGGGAAAAAAGGGGTTTGATTAGGTTTTGGCAACAAATACCATGTTGTTGCCCTTTTCCTAACCCTTAGTTCAACTGTGTCTAACACCCTAAAGTTCTGGCCACTCATCAACGTCTACCCCTGACACTGACCCAGAGAGGATGATGGGATAGCAACCTCCCACCATCAGCTACTTATGGAAAAGTGAGGCTGAACCAGTGCTGCTGACTAAATGTTTACTGAGGCAGGAGGCTAGGTAGGAGGGATTAAAGAAACTTACTTTCAATGTTTATTCATGCTTTGATGAGAAAAAGCATTGTATTAAACAGGAAATAGGATCCAAAAAGGCAGACTGAGGATTGAGAATTACTAATCAGAAGTCTAAATCTCACCCCAAATTACTGAGTGTCCTTGGACATATGACTACACCTCCTGAAGACTCTATCTCTTCATCTAGAAAACAAGCATCATATTAATAATTCTCATCTTCCTGTCCCACGGTCCATGATGAGACTTAGCTAGGAGCTTTTTCTAAATAGAGACCTTTGCTTCTGTATAGAAGCTGTTAGAGCTGATGTTCAAAAGCAGGCTGATGTTCAAGGCCTTGGAGTGTTTGACCTAACTAAAACCTTAAGATAGACAAGTTGAATTTATCAGGTCAACCAAGAAAGGTATAACAAAATTCAGAGTGAGTTCCTCCATCAGGTGGATACTTTTTTTTTTTTTCCAAGTGGTTACTTTCTCAAGTGTTGGTTTACATCAAACAGGAACCAGCTTGTTACTGAACGTGAGGTTGACCATAGAAAAATAACACCTTCTGTTTGTTCTGTACTTTATACTTTGATCTTTGACCCTAAGTACCTTGATCAGATATGGTGGACATATTATTCTATTTTATAGATGAAAATACTGAGACACAGGTTAAGTGTGTCAAATCAGCGACGAAGTTGGAACTAGGAGTTCAAGTCTCCTGATAATGTTTAAAAGCTCTTTATTATTTACAAAGTATTATTTACTTAATATCAAGGAAAAATAAAAATAAAATAATTAGTAAGCATCTTAAATTTTAATCACAGGTCCTGCTAATAAGATGAGAAGAAAAGGAAATTTAAAAGATAGATTTATATCTTCAAATATTCTTTAAAAAAATAAAGGAGCTGAGTTGGTTTTAGTCATTAAAAGCTCCACGCTTCCCTTGTCTCGTACTAAGCAGGGCGCTTCTCTGTTCAGTCTCCTTGCAAACTGACATTCTCCACCCAGTACTGGTTATCAGCTTCATTGAGAACTTGCTCAATACTCATTGAGGCCTCTGTACTATTCCAGTACCAAGACAAAATAGCAATCCTTCTTCAAAATGTCTTTATAACAGGAGTTAGACAACTGGAACACTTCTCTTTGTGCCCCTCCCCAGATCTCTGTACCCCCTGAACTTGAGGATTAGGGTTAGGGGGTGGGTGTGCAGTAATGAGGGGTAGGGAGCTATTTTGCTTGGCTGTACTCTAGGGAAGGAAAGAATAATTGGCGTATTTGATTGGCTAAACCAGAGAGAGGTGGAATTTATAAAATTTCTTAGGAGGAGAGTGAAGAAGGGGTTTGTTTCTTATGAGGCAGGGTTGGGAGAAAATAATGTAATCTATGGAGATCAAGAGGGAACTTTCTTGAGAAAGTTATCATGAAGGCTACCAAGGCAAATGTCCCCTTGGGTTCCATTGCTGCAAGGACTTGGGGACTGAGTCTTGGTCTAAACTCTAGTCAGGGCAGTGGGCAGAGGTAGATTTCCTTCCAAAGAGTGGACAGACTGAGGGCCCTAGGATGTTTCCAAACTGGGTTTCTCCTTGCATAGGGCAACTTTTGGTAAAACTATCAGGTAGGCCAAGTTTTGCAGATGAAGCCACCCTTTTCTGCGTCCTTCTGCCCCCTCAGCATCTTCAGGGGCTACCCCTATGCTGGCCACCCTGCACTCTCCAGTTCTCTGCAGCCTTCAGGCAGGAATCCAGCCTTAGTTGCTTTACCCCTCTGCGCATGTAAACAAATGCTGCGCATCTCCCGACTTGTCTGCACATAGAACCTGGGATTTAGCAATGGAATGGGATTGTCGGAATCACTGAACTAGAGGAGAAGTATTCTGGGAGACAAAAAGCCTTTCCTTACCTCTGAAATCACACTTCAAATATTCATTTAATAAACAGTTTCTCAGCACCAGCTACACAGCAGGTTCTGAGGAGGTCACAAGTGGAATGCAACCCTGATTCTTTGCTTTCTAAAAGCTAAAAGCCACATCGCCTATCTACAGACTTATCCATCACCTTGAGCTGGGGATTTGATGAAGCCCACTGTTACACCCTGGCAGGCTCAATTCTACCACCCACCTGCCTTCCAACAGCCCCACCCTTCAGGGCAAGAGCTGGCCAGCAGTTCTCTGAGAAGGCAGAAGGGAGAACAGAATACCAGACACAGATCCTAAAGTGGCAGATCCCCAACTCTTCCAGGGGCCTGCTGTCAGTCTGAGTGAGTCAGCTTCCTTTTCTCCCTCTCCCTTTCTTGTTGGTGTTAGGTGTCATGGAATGGATTTCAACTCATAGTGATCCCATGTGATAGAGGAGAACTGCCTCTTTCCAGGTCTTAAAAAACCCAAAAACCCAAACCTGTTGCCCTAAAGTTGACTCCAACTTATGGCCTCTGTAAAGTTGGGGAAACTGTATTGAAGCCCTCGGTTTGATTAGGGTCTCTGTGAGAGTCAGCTGCAGGAAAAACTGATCCATGAGCAAGATGTTTCTGGAGTGGCTGGTCTAAAGTCAGGGCCAGGAGAGGCTGGCAGCCTTTTTATCTCCCCTCACCCTAGTTCTCTGACTGCCACTCTAATTCCTGCATTTCTAGTCTGCTGCTGGCCTGTCCCTCCCTTAGAGGAGGATTTGGCCTGGGGACATGGGAGGGTAAGGAGTCTTTCTCCTCCCTTCGCTCCAGCTGCAGAAAAGGAGCGAGTTCCCATCCCATGCTAAGACTTTCTCTGGAGCTTCGCCCTCAAGCAGACGCTGCCTCAAATCTCAGCCTAGGTCCCAGGCTCTGGACGTTAAGCCCTTTGAGCAGCAGGGCTTGAGCTGGTTGGCAGCAAACTTGGAAGCTCCCTGACCAGGTGAGAGGGACACAGACATGGCTGAAGATCTGACAGAAGAGCAGGTGGAAGAGTTTAAGCAGGCCTTCACGATGTTTGACACGAATGGGGACGGCACCATCAACGTCCAGGAGCTGGGCCAGTTGATGCAGTCCCTGGGCCAGAATGTCCCGGAGGACCAGCTGAAGGTCCTCATCGCCATGGTGGACACCGACGGCGACGGTGTCATTGACTTCCAAGAGTTCCTGGCAGCGATAGCCAAGAGGATGAAGGGCAAGGACACAGAGGAAAACACGTTGGCTGTCTTCCGCGAGTTCGACGTAGACGGCAACGGCCACATCACCGTGGCAGAGCTCAAGCAGGCGATGGGCAAGCTGGGTGTGAAGCTGTCCGAGGAGGAGGTGGATGGGATGATCCGCGAGGCCGACGTCGACCAGGACGGGAAGGTGAACTACCAGGAGTTCCTGCGCATGCTCGCTGAGAAGTGAGCGCCGCCTGGCGCCCCACTGCGCCCGGCTCCGAAATCCTGGATCCTGAACTCTTTTTGCTTGTAGCCTGCTCGGCTCGCTGCATTCTTAGGCGGCTGCTTTTGTGGTTGGACTATAAAGGGAGGGGTCTGGGTTGGTGGATAGGAAATTACCTCACAAGTGAGAAAGACTTTGCTTTCTTGGGCCTGGATTCTGCGCGGTCAGGGCTCCTCGGGAGCCCCACTCTGCTCCGTGAGACCCTGGACAAAAGGCAGACCTTCCTGATTCTCCTTTTTCTCCCTGCAGGGAAACGGGGATGCCCCCTACCTCACAGGGCTGTTGTGAGGAATCCCAAGTAGATGTGATGGTCTAAATAAAATGAACTTGAACTCCAAATGTGGTACAAGTTGTTGCTTGAATGCTTGGAAAGTGGAAAGCCGTAGGTCCCAATACTGGCCTTTGAGATTCTTTGGCGCGGCTACTCCTTTCACTCACCCTAGTGGGACAACTAACTTGAGGAAGACAGACGGTCTCCTCTTGCCTCCCCTTTGACTCCCACTTAAGAAGAAAGGTGAAGTAGTGGTATGGGGGGTGATATCATGGTGGAGGAGACAGGTTTCTTTGGCTTAAGGGTCTGTATGAGCTTCTGGGTGAGGACCAGTACAGGGGGCTTCTAAAGAGGGCAGGATGGAGAGGTCCAAGCTGAAAGCCTACGAGTGGGAACACTACCTAAGCCACAAACAAGTAAAATTTTTCACTCTGCAAATAGCCAACTGTTATTTAATCTCAACTGGGGGTTGCGGGGGGGAGTGTTTGTGTGTGTGTGCATATGTGCATGTGTGTGTCCTGTATTTGAGGTAGAGGATCCTATAGATATTTTTTAAAGGGGGGCAGGGTAGGGAGAGAAGTGGAGGATCAGACCTCCGTCACTTGAATAACAGCAAAAACAGTCCCAAAGTGGATAAGGTTCAAAAGTGCTGTGATAAGGAGGCCCGTGGGGGTGGCACTTGAGGTGGGGGGCTGCTTGTAAGTCAGATCCTAGGGGCAGAAATCCTTAGGGCAGAAGGTATTTCCAAGGCTAGCAGCAGGTCAGAGCCCTGGTGGCGTACTGATTAAGAGCTCAGCTGCTAACTTAAAGGTTGGTAGTTCAGATCCACCAACTGCTCCTTGGAAACCCTGTGGAGTAGTTCTACTCTGTCCTATAGGATCGCTGAGTCGGAACTGACTTGACGGCACCCAACAACAACAACAGCAGGTCACCTGTGAGAAATCAGCCGGGACAACCCAGCACCTTGTAGTTACCCAGACCTACTCTGGCTATGGCCCTCTCCTAGCCCCATCTGGCTCTGAAGTTGCTCTCAGATGTTTTAGTCTGAGAGGCGCACCCAGAGAGGAATTTGGAAGAGAAAGGAAGATGGAGGTGGAAGACTGATAGCAGCTGCCAAATCAACCGTTTCATCTAGGAGAAGCACTATCTGAACTTGGGTTTATGTTATTTGTTTTTTTTTTAATTAGACCTATTCTAGGCTACTTGCCACAACTCTTGAGTTTCTAAGGTTCATTTTGCCTTGGTTCTCAGAGATTGTCTAGTCCAAGCTTCTGATTTTGCAGATGAGGAAACTGAGGCCCAGGGAGGTTAAGGGACCAGCCAAAAGACAGACACACTTAGTACAGCAGGGGAGGCAGAAAGAGCACTCAGACTTGAGATTCAGAAAACATACATTATTTTTCCAGCATTTTCATCAACCAGGTGTGTGATTTTGGGTAATTTTAACTAGCTCAGGGTTCTGTTTCCTCGTTTGTGAAATGTGTTGTTTTTGTCTTTCGTTATTCGACTGAATGAAATTTTAACTCAAAATATTGGTGATAACTTACCTTGTTCTGGCTTGTGTCAGAGCATTGGTTCTCAACTGAGGGTGGGGAGAGAGGCATAGCTGGCTTACCTGGTTATTGTTGCAAAACACTCTTGCCTAGACCTTTACAGTCTGCTCCCCGCACTCCGCTTCTAGCACAGGTGTGGTGAGGTAAGTGACAGAGCCTGCCCAGTGTTTCCTAACTTGAGCACAGTCGGGTAAGGAGCAGGGCCAGTCACGAGGTGGGGCTGCCACATCAATTACATTTTTATTTTATTTTTTCCCCCATTGATATTTTCAGGGTGTCACTTCAGTCTATTATGATCCTCAGACATTGCTACCTTTTTCATCATAACCCTGTCCTCAGAGTCTGGCCAAAATTCCCTCTAGAGACCCGCTTGTGGCCAGACACCTTCCAAACCGCCGGGCTGAGGCCAGACTCTCCTTAGCATGGGCTGCGTAGTAAGGGGATGTAGTTGCCGTAGAGTCCATTCTGACTCACCACGACCCTATATGTGGATAGTAGAACTGCTCCATAGGGTTTTCAATGGCTGTGACCTTTCGGAAGTAGACTGCCAGGCCTGTCTTCCAAGGTGCCTCTGGGTGCAGCTGCGTACCTATGGAAAGTAGTGCCTATGACAATTAGTTTTAAATTGCTGAATGCTCTCTCACAGCTAGCCATGGAAATGCGATGGCCAATAGAAACTTCTCCTTGGCACCCCAACCCCCTCAAAAGTAGAGAAAGGGAATTCCACATTCCCTAAGGGAAGGGAAGGGAGGGTGTCAGTTGGAGAGGAAGAAGTCACAGGTGTGGGACCTAGTTGAGGAGATAAGAAGACAGAGATAGGGAAAAGGAGCAGAGGCAGCTACAAGGCTTGATGTGGTAACTGAGGAGAAGGTGAGGGGTGGGGTGGCCAAAGTATGTCTCTGTGTCTCAGGATGGAGGTGGTTCCCTCCAGAAAGTCCCCATCCTCTTCAGGGACATAGTCACAGAAGTCTGAGTTTCTAAATTAGTGATTCCTAAATGCCAAGTGGGGTTCAGGTGCTGGTCCAAGATGAACTTTTCCACGGTCTGTTTAGAAAGGAGAAAAATACAGACTTTTTGACTAACCTAAATGTATTTAATTTTTTTAATTCTTAGAAATACTCTTCTTATATTTTCAGTGTTAAATGTCCTTTCTTTTAAGAAGCTACAGTGATAGCAGATGATAGTTTGTTTTGTTTTGTTTATTTCATGTTCTTAACTGTGCAAAATGGAGAGTCCCACAAGTTCCTTAAATTTAATTTGAAATTTTACTGGTCTGTGAAGTCCAAATATCTGAGACCAACTGCTCAAAACTGTGGAGTACAAATGGATGTTCCTTTCTTGAAACACAAAAAAACCAACTTTTTTTTTTTTTTAATTTTGAAGAAATACGTGACTCACTGAGAATAGTAAACACCAGATTCAGGGCAGAGGTTTTCTCTGGAGTGGAATGGAAGGGATTAGGGAAGGTGCAAGAGGGGCTTCAATTGAATCCTTAATGTTTTGTTTCTTAAACTGGGTGATTACTAATACATAGGTGTTAGTCATTTAATTCTCTATATTTTTCTATGTCTTAAATATTTTACAATAAAAATAATATGTGCACATTATGGAAGATTATGTCTTCGAATTATGGTGTTGATGAAGCATATTGAATATACTATGGACTGCCAGAAGAACAAACAAATCTGTCTTGGAAGAGGTACAGAATGCTCCTTAGAAGCAAGGATGGTGAGATTTCATTTCATGTACTTTGGATATGTTATCAGGAGGGATAAGCCTTGGAGAAGGACATTATTCTTGGTAAAGTAGAGGGTCAGTGGAAAAGAGGAAGACCCTCAAAGAGATAGACTGACATAGTGGCTGCAACAATGGGCTCAAACATAGCAATGATTGTGAGGATGGCGCGGGATCAGGCAGTGTTTTGCTCTGCTGTACACAGGGTTGCTTTGAGCTGGAATTGACTGGATGACATCTAACAACAACAACAATGGGAGATTAAAAAGTACAGAGTGGCACAAAGAAAAAAGTAACCTCTCCCATAAGGCCACACCTAAATATAACAGTGTTAGCATATTGTAGCCTATTCCCCCATTAGTACGCTAATTTGCACCTCCAACTCTGACTCCTCAATCTTTTGGTGGACTTGGGAGGAAAAAGCTTGGGTTTTTAATCTAACAGACTAGGAAACTGATCATTCACATTTCTGTATATGAAGGCTGAGACAGAATCTGGAAGGGTTAAAGAAAAAAAATGCATTTTCTATAGTAGCGTTACCAATAGTACAGCTGATATGCACTTCCAAATTTTTTATGTGGTTGAATTTAGGTTCTCATTTGCAATGTGGCCCAACATCCAAACCTTTAAGAGGAAAACACACTGGGACAGAAGTTCTTGAGCGCCAGACAGGAACACCTTTGGCCCTCAGGAACATCCCACTGTCCAGTTACCTACCTGTGTAACCATTGCTGTTTAGAAGAATAGGTGCAGTCCCTTCTCATCTTACTGTATTATTTCATCTCTGATGGGGAAAAAGAAGGAGCTGGTGCTGCCTTTCCTTGATTTTTCCTAGATATAAGGAGGCATATGCTGGATCTTCTACCCCAGCACACTCTATCCAGTAACTTAGAAAAAGAATTGGCCCAAATTGCTAACGGGAACTTGGGATAAGCTAAGGTTGATTTACTACTAGGGGGAGCAGTCAGGAGACTAGGCTCTGGAGACCTCCTAGTTCTTTTTCATGGGGAGCAACTAAGGCAGCTTAACTAGGGGTTGAGGGCCCAGGGTTATAGGACTACCAACTATCCCGCTTTGCCTGGGACTGAAGGAGTTCCCAGTTGGTGGGATTTTCGGTGCTTCCCTTTCAAGACCCAATTATTTTCTCCTTTGAATTTTTCTATAATACTATGTGTTATCACTAATGAAGGACCAATTCAGAATTATTATTAGTTATGGATTTTGATATCCATTATCTGGGATCACATGTATACCAGCGGACCCTGGAAGACATAAATCCTGCCAATATGAGTCAATGGTAAAATCAGATTTTTTATGTTTAAAATTATATTTCTTGAAAATTTGTAAAACATGAGGTAAACATGAAGGCATCTGCCAATGACTGCACATACATTTTATTCTAGTCT